GCTCCTTGAGCCGGGAACGGGGCTCCTTGAGCCGGGAACGGGGCTCCCCGAGCCGGGAACGGGGCTCTTCCAGCCGGGAACGGGGCTCCTTGAGCCGGGAACGGGGCTCTTCTCTCCCCGCCGGAACGGGGCTCTTCCAGCCGGGAACGGAGTTCTCCCTTCCGAGGACGGGGCTCTCCCCGCCGGGAGGGGCTCCCCGAGCCGGGAGCGTGTCCGGCGCCCCCGCAGAACGAGCCCCGCCGGGCAGCGTCAGCCCGCGGGAGATGCCTGAAAAGTTTTCCCGGCCACTCCGGCGGAATTTGGCGCTTCCCTCCCGCGGTGTGGCTGGCGATGGGGCTGGGCGCTGTGCTCCCGGTCACCGGGCACAGAGGTGTCAGCGGCCGGCACGGAGAGCCAGAGGCAGCCGCGCTCCGCAGGTGCCCCGCACAAAGCGCCCCAGATGCGCTCGGAGAGAGGCTGAGGTGGAGCTGGATAGCGAGCCCGGGCTGAAACAGCCTCCTTTCTCCTTGGAAATAGCTCGTAGTTTGAATTTTACTCTGAAAAGCTCGAGAGTGCTGTCATGAGATTTAAAATTCGAGCTTTAGTGGTGGCTGGTCCTTCTGAAGAGGGGGAGACACACAGTGGGGTGTACATGAGGTTCACAGAGACAACTTCTCCCCGCAGGCAAGAAGTCTGGGGACAGCTGCAAAATCAATAAGCACCTTCCATTTCTGTCTTACTTTAGAGAAAGCAGAGACAGGGCACTCCACAGTCAAAGGACAGCTTCCCAAGGGTACCAGAGTGCTGTATTCCCTCAGCTACCATTGACTTCCTATAGGAATCAACTGGCTTTTATACCTTCAAACATTTTATACCTTCAAACATTAAACCAGAGTGCTAAACTGACCGATTTATGTTTATTTGCTTGCTTTAATCCCTCCTTAAAGTGCTTTTGTGCAAACTGGTGTCTAATTCTCCGTGCCCTGCTACGAAGCAGTGAAAGTCTCGTTGGCTCGTAGGAGCAGGATTCAGCCCTATAAAAATATTGTCTTGAGTGCTTGGGTGTAATCTGCTGTGAGGTGATCAAACACACAAATACAGCCCTGCTTTCCTTCCTGGTCCTGCTCATCAGCGTTCGTGTCTCTCTCCCAACGCGCTCCAAACGCTCAAAGCTACATCAGTGAAGAGCTGGCTCAAATAATGGTTTGAGGAAACTGAACTGAATCATTTTCAGGCAGGGGGTTACTTTATCAGATTCAGCCATGGCACCGAGTTCAGATCCGAGCGCTGCGGTGGAATTTGCTTTTTGCTGGAAGTTTGGACTGGGTCCCGTGCCAGCATCCTCGGCAGCCCCGCGTTCCTCTGCGGCAGCTGGACACAGCAGCTGGGAATGCGGGCGGATGCTTCACCCGGGCCAAATCCTGCCTGCACGGCACTCAAGGGGATTGACTGCCACACACTTCAAGTGAGATCCGGATTTGGCATAAACAGATCATCTCTGAGAATTTGGTTTCATGCAACTTTTGCAGTGCTGTCGCCTTTTGGTTTGAAGTTGTTCTCTCTCTAACAAAACTGGTTTTTTATCTGTCTTCATCTAGTGGCCAGGACAGAGGGAGAAGAGAGAATAGAACAGATTTTTTGTTTTCTGCTGTGTTACCTGATTTGTTTTGGGTGATCACATGAGGTGCTAGAGGTTCTTCTAGACAGAGAATTACTTCATCTGTGTAGTAAATACCTAATTTCAACTTCCCGCTTTTCCTTCAGCACAAGAATGCTTAATTAAGCACCAGTGAGCCTGAGAGACACTTGTTTTCTTGAACATGTAGGATACACACATATATCCATGGGAACTTAGTTCTGTTAAACTCTTCAAAAATAGTTTGTTGCCTGAAGTTGTTCTGCAGCACAGCAAAAGCTGTTCTCTGAACAAAAGTCATTTCTGCTCTCACCATGCACCGAGCCTTTTCTGCACACCCACAGGCATGAACAGAGCGCTCCACACCGGGTGGAACTGGGCCTGGAGCGTGTGAGAGCCCTGATCGATCAGAATTAAAAGGGGGACGATGCAGGAGTCTGGAATACTGATGTTTGCCATTTGTCTGTGTACACAAGGAATGCATCTTTCACCAGTGTGGATGACAAGTTTCCAGAAGGAGTGGTGAATTTTCCATTTCTCCAGCTGTCTAAGTAAGCACTGCAAGTGCTTTTTTGGAAGATGAATTTTAATCAAACAGGAATAGGGAGCTCAGTGTATAATTACTGTCAGAGCAAATCCTCAGGGACTTGCACACAAAGCCAAGTCATCAAGGATCAAATTGTCTTATGAACCTCAAGATCTGTTATTCCCTATGTGGCTTTCTTGTAATATTCTAAAAAGTATTGATATTAAAATGATGAACAATGTAGAATCACAGACTCATGGAATCACAGAATGGTTTAGGTTGGAAGGAACCTTAAAGCTCACCAGTTCCACCCCCTGCCACGGGCAGGGACAGATTCCACTGTCCCAGATCGCTCAGAGCTCCATCCAACCTGGTCTTGGACACTTCCAGGGGTGGGGCAGCCACAGCTGCTCTGGACAATACCTTGCACAGGTACTGCAGGTGCAAAATTTCCCCTCTGGAGCCATGTATGGCTCATGCTGAGCAT